CTGCCCAGGCCTGGGTTACAGATCCGGCCCCAGAACTGGGCAATGAAGTGGTGGAGGTGGGGGAAGATAGACCCTCTTCTAGACAAGACTAAAGTTGAAGGAGGCTCCTCAGAAGGAAAATTAGAGTGCTGTTACAAGAAAGTGGGAATGAATGCTGAGCCATCAGAAAACAGTAGCCACACTCTCAAGTCCATCTCTGGGCTTCCCTTCTTCCATACAGTTTTAAAATGCCCTCACTTAATAACATGCAATTATTCTACATATGCACGAAAATGCATTCATCCACATTTCAAAAGGTAAATGCATTTTCGCATGTCTAACTCATTTTATTCATTTTGTTTTTCTTTCTTTCTTTTTTTTTCTTGAGACAGAATCTCACTTTGTCACCAGGTGCCAGGCTGGAGTGCAGTGGCGTGACCTCGGCTCACTGCAACCTCCGCCTCCCAGGTTCAAGCAATTCTCCTGCCTCAGCCTCCTGAGTAGCTGGGACTACAGGCACGTGCCACCACGCCCAGCTAATTTTTTTGTATTTTTAGTAGAGACGGGCCAGGATGGTCTCAATCTCTTGACCTCGTGATCTGCCCACCTTGGCCTCCCAAAGTGCTGGGATTACAGGCGTTGTCTTGTTTTTCTTTGTGTCTAGTTCCTAGTCCATGATCTTTAAGTGATTGCTCCTAGTCTGTGACCTTTAAGTTCTCCTCTCCATGACCTTTTCGTTCTCTTTCTGACAACCTCTTGCAAAACTACAAATCTGATCACTCCCCACATAGTCAGTATAAAATGGTAGAGGGGAAAATAGAGTAACTCCTATAGGAAAGCAAAAGAAAGGGTAAATAATCCGCATGGAGACTGTATCACAGGATGTATTACATTCTGCTAATTAGAAAAAGCAAGAATTACCTGCCTCACAGGGAATTTTCTTTGGCCAATTTAGCTTCCTTCAGTTCTACTCTCGGAAAGGATTCCTGTTGACTATTTTCTTCCATGATCACAACTGTAATGGGAGTTGGAGAGGATTCCATTTCTTGGGACTGAATTGTTTTAGCCACCGCCTTGCCTGCTGTTGTATTTCAGAGGTATGGAGTCTGTCTACACTCCAGACCCTGTCCTGGGAGTTTCTGTCTTTTAAGGAAAAGCCTTAGAGCCGATTCATTTTAACAGTCTTCAGTTTAACAGCCACCCTCTTAGCCTCTGCCTAGGGGCGACTTGGTGAGGAGGCCTAATGGAGTGGCCTTTTGATGCCCGGTGCTGTCCTAGTGGATAGCTCTTTTAATTAGGGTGACCTGTTTTAAGGCTGTCATCTCAGTGTAATTATTAATAGCACCCATACTCACACTCAGAATTGTCCCATTTTGATAAGAAATCATATGGTCACCCAATTAAAATGGGGTTAATTCTTCCCTTCCTCTGGCAGGAGCAGCACAGCAGGAGGAGTTTGATGTAGACTCAGGAGACGGTCTTTCTATTATCAGTTTTTTACCTTATGCCTTTGCTGTCACTGTGCAAAAGGAAGAGGATTTCAGTTTTTCAACGTGGCATGGCTCAATATATCTGAGTTCGGACCATTTGAGTTTGCTGGGTACTGGCAGAAAGGGAATCTTTTAATCACACTGTAATTTTTTCCTCTCTACTACTACATAGGCAAGTTTCAACATTAGCATGCCTTTTTCTTTGGAACATTTATAAAAACTATTAAGTCGGCCAAACTCCCTAAAACCCTGACACTTGTCAATCAAGACCTCTCAGACTCTACCCTGGAAATGCTGGGATCTGAGACCTCTCACTCAGTTTCTTGACTTCCATATCACAAGAGTTTCCAGTTCCCTAGCCTGGCATAGAGGGATCTTTCCTACGTTCACCATTCCTCAACTCAGCCAATTTTACATTTAAGGATCTGCGCCACAGCATCCCACTTCCAGCTGTACAGAACTCTTTTGGCTGCAAGACATAGAACTTAACTCAAAATAGCTTAAGCCCAAAAGGGAATGTTTTGGCTCATGTAACTAAAAAGTCTAAGGGTACCTTGGCTTCAGGCATGATCAAACAAGCCATAAAAATTTGCTGATGCATACATCCCTGCCCACACCCCTTTTCTCAGCTTTGCCTCCTTTAATAGCTTATCCCTCAGACAACACTGAATCGGCTAATCGCTGGGTCTTAAACACTATCTGCCAACGAAGTGGAGGTGAAGATGGGCTCTGCCCTACTCTAAACCCCAAGACCTAAGGGTGGAAAAGAGGTTATTTCCCAAAGGTGCCGTTACCAAAAAATGGGAAATGGATGCTTGCCAGGTTAAGGAAAATCAACAGAGGTCATCCATTTTATACTTGAAAGTTTGAAAAATGTAAGCAAATCTGTCCAGGCTCAACCCTTCGTTTGAAAGGTGAGGATGAGAATGATTATATACTTTGCCTCAAAGTGGTGAAGAAGAAAAGGGTAAGGGCAAAAAAAAAAAAAATTTTTTTTAGTTTAAAAATAAAATAAAAATCCACTGGGCGCGGTGGCTCAAACTTGTAATCTCAGCACTTTGGGAGGCCGAGGCGGGCAGATCATGAGGTCAAGAGATCGAGACCATCCTCGCCAATGTGGTGAAACCCCATCTCTACTAAAAATACAAAAATTAGCTGAGCGTGGTGGCATGCATCTGTAATCCCAGCTACTCGGGAGGCTGAGGCAGGAGAATTGCTTGAACCTGGGAGGCGGAGGTTGCAGTGAGCTGAGATTGTGCCACTGAACTCCAGCCTGGTGCCTGGCAACAGAGTGAGACTGTCTCAAAATAAATAAATAAATAAATAAAAATCCACAGGCTTGAAAGTTTAGACTTTTCTGAAGTTGCAGGGTGCCTTTCCAACCTATTGTCAATTCGGAAAAGACTTCATCTTCAACAGTGGAGGAAGCCTCCATTTTCTCCTTTCATTCACTTGTCTGTCACCTTCCCCTGAGGGCCTCAAGGGCAGGAGGGAACACATGACAAGGAGGAAAGAAATGCCATTTCCTTCTGGTCTCAGACTTTGCATATCTTAGCTGGGAATGTGCAGTTTGTTCATTTCATTCTCAACATTTTCAACACTAAGTTGCAGGAATTAGTTAATTCCACAAGTATTTGTTGAATAAGAATTCTTTTTCCTTTCTCTCTCCTCCTTGTTACCCTCTGCTTCTCTCCAAGACTTTTTCCCATCAGCTTTTAAACATTCCCAAGGATCTCTCATCTTAAAAACCAAACAAATAAAACCCCCCACAAACAGAAAAATGTCCTTTGATCCCACTTCCTTCTCAGCTACCACCCCGTTCACAACTAAATTTCACACACGACTTGTCTTCTTTACCGTTTGTATTTCCTCCCTCCCTAGCTTTCCTCTGGCCACTCCTGTCCACCCCCACCACTCACCAGAACAGAAACCTTATGGAAAGAGCACCGTTTTTAGAGAACACGAACCCAGTTCAAGGCAACATTATAGCCCCTAAACACTGTGGAATAATTGTGTGATGTCTGTCTTTTCAACTGGAGTGTGGGCTTCTTGGGGGTAAGACATAGCTGGTAGTTACTCAGTAAACTATCTTACTGCTGAATGTCATATGTCTACTCCAGGCATGAAGACTAGCATGAATAACGATGTGTTAAATAAAACTCGTTGAAATAACGAAGTGACTGGGATTGGAAACAAAAAGAAGGGACAGGTTTGGAATGGGGTGGGATGAGTGAAATTCTAATTATCCTGAGCTTAAGTTAGAAGTGTAGGAGAAGGAGGAGAGTGTATTGTATTAAAAGCAAGGTGAAAAATAGCTTCAACGGGGCCATAGTAGGCAATGCTACAGGCTAAATGCTACAAGCAAGTATATCATGTTTTTCAAATTGAACACTATTAGAGGCTACTTGGTTTGCCAAACAATAATCAATTCTTTGGGGAGGAGATTGGGAGAGTAGTTTTGCTGGAACATTACCAGTCTGAGAATGTGAAGGAGCAGAAATTTGTAGGGTCCAGAAAATGCAAGGATCACAGCAAAATTAATTTAGGTGACAGTGAACAGAGCAGGCATACAATACGACCTTTATGGTGGGCATACAACAGGAACTTTTGGGAGGTGGACGGTCCTATCTGCATGTTTCTCATCAATTCTACATTTTATTCCAGCCCATATTACCCCTGTGGTTAAGGATCTCTAGAGAAAGAGAACTCTAGTATTCTCCTAGTGGATAAACTTTACTTAAATGTAAGTTAAACCCCCCACCCAAATGTTGTAATTCATATGGATTTAAAACGCAAAATGGCAAGTAGAGATGACAGGTAATTATGACTTTTTTTTTTTTTTTTTTTTTTTGAGACAGAGTGTCAATCTGTCAAGTGCAGTGGTACTATCACTGCTCACTGCAGTCTCACACTCCCAGTCTCAAATGATCCTTCTGCTTAAACTCCCGAGTAGCTAGGACTACAGGTATATGCCACCAAACCCGCCATTATTATTATTATTATTATTTTTGTAGAAACAGGATCTCACTATGTTGCCCAGGCTGGTCTTGAATTCCTGGACTCAAGAGACCCTCCCATCGCGGCTTCCCAAAGTGCTGGGATTACAGGCGTGAGCCACCAAGCCCAGATACTTTTCTGATTACTTTTCAAACACATTGTAGAGCATCCTAGAACTTGTCCTTTCCTAGCTCAGTTTATTACAGTCTGCTCATGCTCCTGAAGAGAATACAGCTTTTAGTCATTTAGACTCTGTGTGATCTTTCCTTGATTTTCTAAGGGTCCTGAGTATGTGGTCGCAGAAATAGACAAACACGTGTGCAGGACATCATAGACTCCTGCTAGGCTGGAAGTGGAGTTCCTCTCTTGTAGCCAATGTTCCCTTCCCCTCACCCTTCCACTTCCCAAAATACACACACTCAATATACAGTGGCCGTCACATCTGTTTTATAGGACCAACAAGGCTGAATCCTAAAGGTGAAGGAAGGAAATACAGAAAAAGTCCAGCGCGATCCTAGCTCAGCAGCACACAGGTTTTCACGTCTAATATTTAATTTACGGAATTTATTTTCAATCTCAATTTAATTGCTTTTCTTGAAAACATGCTTGGGACCAGGCCAACAATGGAGGGACGAATGTCACCGGGTCGGGATCTGGAAACAATCAGCTCTGTATGGTTTTAAGGACGAAGCGCCAAGATCTTAAGGAACCTGAATTCCTGGTGGGCAGTCAAGTTCTTTAATCCGCCCAAGCAGGATGTCAATGGCTTCAAAGACAAAAAGAAAATTTATTTTAAGATAGATTTTACCTTTTTAGATTAATTTTTTAAAAAGGGAACCCGTCACAAACTCCCCGATTGTTAGAGAAAAGGCCTCTCCCACCGCAGAGCCCTCTGGCACCCTGGGACAGCTCGGCGGCGGCGTCCCACCGGCCGCCCGCAACCCGTGCCGCGAGCGCGGAGTGCGGAGCGGGGGTCTTGCGTCCTCCAGAGTGGCGGGCTTCGAGAGCGCCGCAGGGCGGGCGCGGCGGGGGCAGGACCCGCCGGCCGCTCGCGTCCCCAGGGCGCTTAGGGAAGCCGCCAGCGCGTTTCCCCCAGTCCCGGGGTCCCAGCCTGGCCGAGCCACCTCTGGGCCGCCCGCCGCTGCAGTGGCAGGAAGTCCCCGGGAACTACAAATCGAGGCATGCTGGGAACGCTCTCCGCTCCTCCCAGGAAATGTCCTTTGTCCAGCCCTACAGGAAGCCCCAGTGAGGAGTCAGCCGGGCGGCCAGCCAGCCAGCGCCGCTGCAGCCGCCACCGCACAAGGGCAGACGCGCCGCGGTGCGGGGCTCGGGCCGGGGCGCGCGGTGCGCTCGCTCCCCGCCGCGCCGGCCGCCGCGCAGGTAGGAGCGTGGCTGTGGCCGGGCTCGCCCGCCTCCCGGGGATGGGGCTGGTCGGGACCGGACCCGACCGCTGCGGGGTCGGGGTGTGTGTTCGAGTGCGGTGGCGGAACGGCTGGGCGAAGTTGTACCTCGTAAAACGGACAGTTGTCCGCTCCCCTGGGGCGCAGGGGCCGGGGCTCGTGGGGTGCTCTCGCGCCCCCTGGGCCGGGGCTGAGCTCCCTCAGGGGTGTGTGGCGAGGGGCGGGGAGGAGGAGGCTGAGACGTGAGGGAGGAGACAGCGATGCGAGAGGGAATCGGAGCGTCCCGCCGACCACCGAAGGGGGCATCAGAGACCCTCGGAAAAGCGAAGCCCAGGGAGGAGCTTGGAAGGCGAGGAGAAGGTGAAGGGCTTTGTGTGCAGCTGTGGACCTTGACGGACTGCGCCCTTCTTGCCTTGACTGTCCGTGCCCCCAGCCCCCGTGGGGCTGAGGGAGAGTGGGGGGCTCCGAGGAGGGGCAGGAGAGAGGCGGCAGGTCATCTTGGGTCCCAGTGAATGCAGTGAGTGCCTCCCTTCTCTTCTCCATTCGATCCCACTCAGAGGAGCGGCTTGGGGCTGCCATCAGACCGGGCAAATGACACAATAAGGACGGGTGGGTGGAGGGAGGCGCAGCGGCTCGCAGCCCAGGAGGGGTCGCGGTCTAGCCCCGGGAGGCCTTCCAACCACAAGCGTCCGTGTCGGCAGGTGGAGGGGTGGTGGACAGAGCTGGACCTGCACCTCGCGAAGATGCCCTGCAAGCACGGGTGAGGCGCGAGTTGGGAGCAGAGGGTGAGTAAAAGGTTGAGGGGGAGCAGCGACGCAGAGGCGCTGAGTATACCTTATGGCCAGTGTACATTATGGCCACACATCGGGAATCGATTACCACTTCCTCTGGGACTTTCCACGATTTTCCTTTTTCCTAACCACCAGCCGCCACCCCCACCCCCAACCAGCCTCCCCCACAGGAGTGACTCACTCACCCCTTGCTACATGAACCCTGGGCCGAATTGAAGTCGGTGATGTATCCCTGCCCTTGTAGCGGGCATATTTGTCCTTAACCTGTAGGATGACACCAGTATTCCACATCATACCCTACTGCCTTACCCTCCTCCAGCAAGACTGAGCGCCTGGTAAATGTGGCTGGATAATGGCTACAAGTTAATTGTCTTTGAGCAGCTGTGGTGGATGCGTGGGCAACTTTGAACACAGCCCAAGAGTAACTGTTTTAACTGAACTCGGCTCACCTAAGGGGCCACTCACTGTCTCTCCTTTCTCCCCTCACCTGATTTTTTGTTGATGTCTCCAGCTGTTTACCTTCTTCTCTCAGCAAGCCAGCATATGGATATTACTTAATGGGGAATACATTTTTTTTTTTTTTTTAGACGGAGTTTCGCTCTTGTTACCCAGGCTGGAGTGCAGTGGCGCGATCTCGGCTCACCGCAACCTCCGCCTCCTGGGTTCAGGCAATTCTCCTGCCTCAGCCTCCTGAGTAGCTGGGATTACAGGCACGCGCCACCATGCCCAGCTAATTTTTTGTAGTTTTAGTGGAGACGGGGGTTTCACCACGTTGACCAGGATGGTCTCGATCTCTTGACCTCGTGATCCACCTGCCTCGGCCTCCCAAAGTGCTGGGATTACAGGCATGAGCCACCGCGCCCGGCCGGGAATACATTTTAAGAGCCAAATGAACCTTTAAGAATGCCACTCATATGGCCAGGTGGGAGTATGCAAGGCTCACGGTGGGAAGAATGATGCTGTAGGGCGTGGAGAGAGCCCTGAGCCTAACATACATGACTGGTCCCTGGCTTCTTTAGGAGAGATGAGTCATTTGAACCAAGATAAAGAATGGAATGGAGAAAAAAACCCAGTTGTCTAGAGGATAATGAAGTGAAGGAAAACGGCTCTGTGAATTCCGATGATTTCTTGTTAGAACATATTGGCCGTGTGTGTGTGTGTGTGTGTGTGTGTGTGTGTGTGTGTGTGTGTGTTGGGGGTTGTTGTTGAGGGAAAGTTGATGTCAGAAGTTCAGCCAGGCCCAACAGAGACTAAGATGGTATCTGACTGAACCACGATCATAAATGTGAAGTCAGACTGCCCTTTACATTACACAAAGGAGCACATAGATGGCCTTTCAGAACTACTGGGATAGAGGGGTAAATGGATGCTAGTCAGACAGAAGCAGCAGCTGATGCGGCTGGATTGAAGTGGTAAATGGTGACCTCACATCGGCAGCATGACTAAGGCTCATGGAGTTGCGTCACATTTCCTCTCCCTCCCTCACCAAAACCCTTTGAATTTCCTCAGAATCTACATTTTTTCCTAATTACTAGTGTCCTGTGAAGCGAAGGAGAAAGGGTAAAGGTTGGCTGCAAGGATGATAAACTAAGGCAAGAAGGAGCTTGTCTGCTTAGGTAGAAAGAAAAAAAATAGCTACAGTGCCAATGAGAGGTCTGGAGCTTGAACCTATGTCAGTATCATATGGGCTTTTCTTTGTATCTAAGATCCTACTTCTTTTTTCTTTTGTATATTTGACCTGCCCCTTAACAGGATTCTTAGTACCACACATTATGTACAGTTAATATAATCAACAAAAGTAACTCTTTACTTTGACATTTAAACTTCTTTGCAAGTCAGTGCCTACCTACCTCTGCTCTTCATTGGACCTGCACCACCTTAATTTACCTACCCGTCCTTGAAGCAAATCGCTCCCCAATCTTAGAAGATGCAGCATTCTTCTATGTCTGCGATTGTCAGGTTGAACCCCATGCTTGCTGAGCATCCCTGTCCTGTTCCTAATTCTTTTGTACATAGCCTAGCCCAGCTGATTAACTCCCTTATAGAAGTCTTCCCAAAGTTTGCATTCAGAATTAATCTTACCCCTTGGTAGTTTGTATTATTTCAATGACACCTGCTTTAGGTGTTAATACCTTACAAGTGCCCAAAGGATGTTTGATTTGAAAACATGAATAAATGAAAGAATGAGTGAAAGGATGAAAAAAACTTAGTTCTCTTTCCTTTTCCTTAGAAAAGGGGATGGAGTCTTTTTTATAGACCTGTGAGGATTCATTGCAATTGTGCAAATGAAGCCTCTAGGACATGCCAGACTGAAGTTTTCCTTTTGCTCCTAGATTAAGAGACCCTGAAAATACCTGTCATAGTGTCTAGTATAAGAACATTCACAAAAAGTTGGTTGAATAAATTCTTTGCCAGCCTAAATTTCAAACTCTATAGGCAGAATATGGAGTGGATTAATTCCAAACAAATAATCAACAATTTTTGTCATTGTCCTAGACTGAAGAAGGTAAATCTTTCCATTCAGTTATGAAGGTGCAGTGTGCTCATTAGAAAAGCAGCACTACAAGGACTGTCCTGCTGTTTGCAAGTGAGCCAGACACCTACCATGCCACTTTTATTTTTATAGCCCAGGCATCTACCAGGATTAAAATGCAGCATATTGAAGTAGAAAACCAATTAGACTCTTGAACCTCCCCCAAAGACACTGCAATATAGTAGTCCCTCACTTATCTCTAACTGGGCAATTTTTCATGCTTTTTTTATGTCATTATAATAACGGTCACCACTTATTGAACATCTGTATATCAGCTACTAAACTAGGTGATTTACATGTGTTCCTTAATCTGATGACTTACGTATTGTTATCTTCATTCTAAAAATGAGGAAACTAGGGCTTAGAAGTTAAGAAATTTGTCTGGAGTCCCAGATTCTGAACTGAGTGTAGATTGGAATTTAGGTTTGCCGACTGCCAAGTCTGTTCAGAATTTGCTTTCTATGGAAGAAAACGGACAGTTCTTTATCCTGTCTTCTCCCGAGATCCTCCACTTCCCAGATTTCCTACCAGTAACATTGTTGGGCTTCTAAAATCATCCTAATGGATCTTATTCTGAGAAAAACTTTTTTTCTCATAGATTTGTTATTTTTATGTCCTTAAACTCTCATGACCATCAGTTGGAAAGGCCAGGTTCAGAATCCCTAACAAGACCTTTGAGTACAGAACTGTGTGTGTTTGGAATTCTTTTCTTTTTTCTCCCACCCTTGGCCTGGAATTCCTCTTGCCAGGCCAAGCCTCACTTCTTCTGGGTGTTCTTTCTTGACCACACCAGGCCACCCTCAGCCTCTCCTCTAATCTCTTGCATTGTTTGAGATTCTGCAGTTCAGTGTCTTCTTAATGAAAGCAGACTTGTGTGGGTTCCCACACGTGACAGAGACTCTATGTCCAGAACACAACCTGGCATCGTTAACTCGGAAACTGAGTTAACGATGAATTGGCAACGACTAAAATGCAGAAATGGAGGCATGAAACATTATTTGCATGTTGATAGTTTGCTTCTAGTGTAGAAGAGGGATCGAAAACAGGATAATAATTGTCTTAGTTAATTTTTACCCTTTTCATGTAACTTCCAAAAGAGGTAAGTACCTTCTGGAAATATGCCAGGGCAGACCACTGTAAGCTGAGTTTTCTGAGCTTGACTAACACTGGCGCTGAATAATTATAATGTTTAATGATTTGGTGTAGCAGAGGTGGGGCATTGTTTAGTACCTTTCCCTTTGCTATCATGCCAAACCTCTCAGATGTCAGGCACATCTGAGAAAATCAAAGGGGTTTCCCTGACTGCACTTGGGAGGGGAAAAGAAGGCTGGGGAGAGGAAGGAAGATTATTCATTCTCTTTTCATCAGAGTAGCAAGATTTGTGTGGGGTATGGATTTGGCATTCATTGCATCATGTATTGATAGGGGATGGTAAAAAGATCAGGAGCTTCTCCTCTTTGGGTAGAAGAGGGTTTAACCTGTTACAAGGTTGAACCCATCTCCTGAGGTTGACCAAACCTTTTTTCCTGACCTCAAGGGTGCACAGAACTCTGAAAGCCCTGGTATAAACACAGCATGCTGTGGGTTGTTATGAGCACATTAGTCATGTTGAAGGAG